CGTGGATGCCACGTATAACACCCGTCGACGTAAAGTATTGTGATGTGCACATTCAACTCTAGGTGTTTCTCTATTACCGACTTGTAGATCAGAAGCTCCAGGTTCGTTAGCACTAAATCAAGCACCGATTTATTTCCAGCTCCTAATAGTGTGGGCGAACTGACTTGACTGAAAAGCAGAATGGTTGCAGTAGGCTCTTGTATGTAGGCCTTTAGCTGCTCACTGGGCATGTCAAAACTGCAAGATCATGGACATAGAAGCCAGTTGAAATGAGTATATATCTGTATCTTGGTAACAGGACCCTTTCTAAGGCTAATGTCAAACGGGAGTCCACCTCTGGAATGGAAGCTGACGACGATAAACAATTGCCACAACGCAGGTGCCAATGAGTCTCGGTCACAGACCGCGTTATAGTGAGCTACACGATCAGCACTTTCGGGTCGTCAATTGTTCACTGCCGTAGTAATTCCCGAGTGTAAGCAAGTTTCGGTAACAAAGACGAGGTCACAAGCATGTGAAGTTTGACGTACCTGCAGTTCACCAAACTTGCTCACGAAACTTTGGGCACTGATGCACATGCAAGGGAGTTTCTCTGATGTTAGGGTTGATTAGGAACACCGGTGTTTTGGGTTTGATGTTTCGCCGACCGTTCAATGGTCAGTGGTCAGCCAATTATCGTTTTTGGCTTGAGGCTTCATGGACTCAGTTGTGTGAGGCCCATAGCTGCTACCACATCCGTCTTGCTCGTCTCTGCGTGTGGTACTACGGCTAGATATATACTGTTAACCGAGCCGTTGTCGGGAAGTGGTCGGATGCGATTACCAATGTTCTTTAGTTGCTTAAGGGAGCCTTTTTGACCCGGAGCTCAGAAAGTCATCTGCTGCGAGGCGCATACCAGCACACAATAACCTTGTTGACCGCTGCATGTAAGCACCACTTTCACAATCCTCGGATCACAGCATTTTTAATCCGTGACCTACGGAGCTACGAGATGAAATACACTACCACGTTTTCCAAGGAGAGAGTTTTGCAAATTTGAAGCCTTGCTTCTGGTGGTGGGTGGCGTTTTACACTCATCACCCCTTCCAGCGTTTGGAACATCGTGCACGAGAACAGTCTTGTCTGCATATTCCTTTCGGTATTCTTCCAAGTCAAGCTTCCATTGTTTACACTTCATCCACTGAATATCCAGGAAGATGTGGATGGGATATGTCCCATTCCGGAGGCGAGCTGTCGATAAGGTTACAGTTTCTGCTTCACCAACGGAAGTCAAAACACTTCGTGGAATTCTCGTTTAGAATAAATGCTTTGAGTTTGGTTGACAGATAACACGTGCTATGTTGGCGGACTTAGCTATAACACATAGGCTGTCGTCTATTTGGTTCGTCTGGTTCAAATCATCGTTTTGTTTTTAAGGAATTTGATGCCCATTCTGAAAGCTTGGTGCATATTATTGATGGTTGACCATGTGGTCTCTTGGTGACAATTTGTGCGGCCTTGGTTGTGGTCAACAACTCCGATGGGTTGAATACAATCGGTGGCTGTTGTGTAAGTATAGGTTCACCCACTTCATTTACTTTGGGTCCAGTTGGACTAACCGAATGCCTAAGGTTTCGTTCCCTCTGGTTCCAATTACGTTCTGACTCACAATAGTGTCAACCCCCTTTTGAGATTTTGCGACAATTTGAAGAGTCTGCGATACCACGGTTATTATTATTCAACCCAGTCTTTGGATATTCGGTTTATGCGCCCCTGTGCCATCCCTAATATTGGCATGATCGATGTTTAAGGCCAAGGATGAAACATGTCAACTGGATTAAAAGCCTGTGTTATCCCACTGGAAGCGCAGCTTTTTTCGAGGACTCGCTACCATGCTTATCTACTGAAACAAGTTTGTATTCATCATTCGTTAAACGGTATCACCAATACTTCGTATTGCTGAGGTAGTTCATGTACACTAGTTACCCGTATCATGATCATAAAAACGGCATAAAGCCACAGAGCATCTGAGGTTCTACTGTACACCTTCGCTTCGTTTGCTTTGAGATTAACACCTTTGGGATGAACAATACTGAGGCATTAGGAACATTGGGTTACCGTTTGTGCATCGTTGTGCCAGGAAGGAAAGCCACACAGCGGTTGCGTTAAGCTAGGTTCATTTGAGCAATCTTTATAACGTATTGTGTCGCGGGTCTGTCAGCCAACGCCCCCTAAGTCAATGGTTTAGCGACTGCCTGTATTTCAAAGGCAGCGCGCGTGGCTGCCTGTCTGTCTACTACACGCTGAAATGGCGGGGTCCGGCGTAGGCACGTCTGTTGCGTCTTGTGATACGTCAGGAATCATTGGGAGCTAGGTCAATACGATTGGTTGGTTCGCTTAGACCTCGCTGTGCAGTGTTAACAAAACAGCTGAGCAATAAATGGCACAAAGCGTCTGGTAGTTTCGCCCTTAATGGTCGACAGTTGTATTTGATGGCTTATCTTATAAACCTCGGATCCGGTCTCTGTTTGAAGCCGCAGTGGTTGCCGTGATTTTGCACTAAGAGCGTAAAAACAAACGCCGAGTTAAAAGCTGATCCGCACAAGTTTGATCCATAAGGTGGAGTACACTAAATTACACTGGGTAAGCTGGTTTGGATAAATGAAGGTACACTGGTGTGCTTGGAATTGTGAGAGTAAATACGGGCTAAGCAAGAGGGCAGAGGAAATTCAATTGCATATATGTTATAGTCTTACAATTAGGAGCTAAAACTAGAAAGCAGGTCAGCCACGCCAAGTTAAGGGATGGATTTCCAAAGGAACCTGAGCGGTACTTCCACACTCTTTCATCATTGCAGCTAGCCAGATCTACCCATAAATTTGTTGTCCGTGGGTTTAGAAACGTTTGCTCTAACTCGGGACACAAACATAAAGTTCTAACACTGCCGTACTTGAATCTTGCTGGCGAAAGGTTGAATTGATCCCTGTAAGCGAATTCGATTTCTTAGGTCTCTGGTGCATTTGGTTCTATCTTGTTAATATTATTTGACCACAACGAGGACGGCCAGGAATTTGTTGACTTTAGAGACCTTGACGAGGTGGAAACATTAAAGAAAATGAGGAGTATATACTAGCGCGGCCAGACAATCGGTTAGGTATTATTATTATGAACAGCTCGAATGCTCTCATACGATTGGTGTATTACTCAAGGATCCCTCTAACTCAATCAAAACGTTACATGATGACAAAGCTCGACGACAAGTGAAAAGAAAAAGCGCTAGTCGATTCGATGAGGTTTGAAATAATTCCTTCAGTCACCAATCATTCCAAAAGTACCCAAGGTCCATAAGAGTGGGCCGCTTAACAACCGAAGCTAAACTTGAGTAGCTCCCATATCACATGTTGGCGTAGTGGTTGGCCAACCTAATGGAACGAAGAAAAGAGGGGTCACCTACGCATAGTTTGTGTGACGTGATTAAACCGTTGACAGATTTAGAACAAAATGTGACGTAAAAAGCAGCTATTTTCGTTGGATATGACGTCCTTGTTTAACCTTACGCCAGTTAGAGAGACTATCGATTGCCTTGTGGAATACATGGAACGCGCGGTCTGATAAATTAGCCTACCGGTAGGAGAAATTAAGACGCTGATTAATCGGTGTATCTATATTGTCCAGTTTCGCATACTGGAAAGTCATAACGACCAAAAGGACGGTCCATTGTCTACTGATGTATTTATGGCCAAACTAGAGTAGGGTCCTCCGAGTGAAATGATTGACGGGTGCCACCCTATACCATATGTCGATAACGCAATGTGTATAGCTGACAGCTCAGTGGACCAGGTTGAATTATTACGATTATACTTGGGCCGATAGGTTTAGTTTTGGATACAACTTTAGTTGTAATGAAAGTCTGACTTCCTTGGACCTTCAGTTGTCACGTCCACCAGATGGCTTTCTGCAGCGTAAAATCAACAAGAAAGTGACTTTAGGTGGGTCAATGTATAGACGTTGCTAACTTTAGGCCGAATTTATAGAGCGGTACATAAGTTACTGTCTTTTAGGAACAGCGACAGTAATATCCTCCGAGGACCCAATGGAGGCGGAGCACGCCATTCATTTATAGGAAAATGCCAACTGACTGTTTGGTCGCCGGAGCATCCACAGAATAGAAGAAACCCGTATACTTCCTATTGGTATCCTATTGGTCCCGTGCACTTTAGCATACGATTACGAACGATCGTCATTAACACATAGGTGGATGCTCTGTTACGCGTTGTCTACATTTTCTTTGCGGTTTTTCGATCGATACATTACATTAAAGGTTTTTATACCAAGGTTAGTACATGCTGAATCCTTGAATTGCTGAGAGCCATTGCCGTATGTCCCAATAATGCCCCGTTTAGTATACATAAACATTTTGTCGAGTCTTTGACTTTAACGCGGCCAGCTGTCGCGCGGTCAGTTTCGACTTGAACAAATGACACCCATTATGGTCATCTTGACATCTTCACCTTTTAGCTACTACATCCATCCTTTTTTACTTTAACTATATAGTTGTGTGATATTTCATCTGATACGAATCACCGAGGATGAACTTGTTTGTTAGATCTATTTTGCATATCTAAAAGCGTAATTATTTAACCTGAGTAGTCCAAGAGAGGAGGAAACCCCACATGAAGTGTCTGTGTTGGGAGGAGTAACACCGCAGACGCTCTACTTCGAATGCCGTCCTAAAGATCGGAATGATCGAAGGCTACTTCAAAATATGCCCAATTATTTATAGGGATTGCGCTTCACATTCCAACTGAACACTGCGAGTACTCTAAACGTAATGTTACCTGACTCCTATGTATTCTGTCTCGTATACTCATGCAGCCAAGATGTTAGTGACATACGGCCTAGCCACTGATAATCTCACACAATCATTTTTATCCGGGACAAAAATAACGGATTTCTTTAACGTAAACGATGCACGCAATGGCGTATGATGCGTACTTTCCTAGAGCAGTATTTTTACTCACCCTGTAGGTCTTCGTATAGGTCTGGTATGTATCTTCCAAGTAGCCACAGAAGATGAGTTGGAATCCGCAGCATAACATCGCCACAAACATTGGATCAGTGTGGCTGCAGGTACTCGCCGACGGATCAGGTGTTTCTGACGCTGATGTTGTTGTACTTTGAGGGCAAAGCCGCTACCCAGAATTCCCTTGAATGTAAACGGGTAGCACAAAAGGTTTTATGATAGGAACATAAATTCCACCCGTAATATGCGTAAAAATGCATAATAACTGATGAGAAGTTTAAACGCATAAGCTAAAGCAAACATTAGATAGTTCATTGGATAGTTGAAAACATTTGAGAAGCGAAGTCGTGGGGGCGGGCGAAACGTCTTCATTATTTAAGGTATCTCTTCAAACGATCGAGCGTCATTTCGGCCTATGATTAGTCGATGTACATGTATTTGGAACACAGTGTCATTCCGTATGTTGTATAATTATATCCATGATGAGAACTCTTAGGCATACTGTCAGAGCATACTAGCGTATTAACTAATTTACTTGCTGAGTTTGTCGAATAAGCCTTAAAGTACCACTAAGTTCGATAGAAAACCAATAACTGGATAGTCAGTAGGGCTATCAATGTTGTATGTTATATGAAATTAATGCACATCAAATGCAGTGAATCCTGAAGTGAAGACGTCATCATCAAAATGCGATCGGCGCGGCTACAATACGCACGCTTGAAAGTGCCTCCTCGCTTGAATGCCGAAGTAATGACAGATTCTGCTGCTCAATTTTCACGGTGCCTGACTTGTCACGCTTACTTTGCAATACGTGGTAGGACCAGCGAGAGTCACCTAATCGGTTCACATGCAAAGTATCTACAGTAACATGATTGTGTCCATCTATGTATGCAGAGTACTTGTTTATTATCCTCTGAAATATACCTATGTGGCTCACTATACAACACAAGGAGACACTGTGTAATGAGGACTAGAGGCAACCGGTTTAACTGATGTGTTCTTGAGTGTCATTCTAGCCGAGAAGCCAGGCGAAATAAACGACTCTCAGCAATACAGCACTGATTTTGCACATGGCTTTCAACATAGTAAAAGTATGCCTTATTTCCTTGCAGCCACATCTACCAATTAGTGGTTTGTTAACTCACCTAGGAGCAAGGGACCCAGCATCCGCCTAGTAAAGCCATACGCTGGCACCCAAATGCTGATTGAATTCTCAGTTTTGTGGCCCACTACCATGAATAAAGCTACTTCTCTACTCGATGCATTTCTCATCAGTCGACAGAGGAATGTTCCGACAACTAGGTGTAGTCAGTGAAGACAGATTTGATAGGCATACTACTGAGCAGCGTGTTACCACGGTCATGCGTGGCAACAAACAAAGTAGTTGAGCTCGGGTGCATCTCACTTTATCCTCGGATTTCAGAAAGGAGAGCTCACGTAAAACTGCAACATTTTCTTACACTGTCATGCTGCTAGGCTATGAATCAAGATGCCTGTAGCTCAGGTTGACTAGTGAGATGCTAAATATTTCAGCAATCAGGATAGATCTTCGCAAAAATTTCATTACCAATCAAGATGACATTTTTCATTTCGTAGTGGTAAGTAGGTAATGGCAGGTGCTGGGCAAATCCGTGTATTGCTTCACTTGAGTCTCAATATTTAGGGTCAAACTATTCACTGGTACACGCTGAAGATGCTGCGTCGTTTGGGAGTGAAACGTCTACAAAATGGCTCGGCCGGTGAGTCAATCAACATCCAAGATTCGTAGAACATCGCTTGTTATCTCGACCTTCTCTGATTCTTTCCAAAGTGCGTAACAGCCATTATTATTCCTAAGTATGAACTAGTATCCTTCTGGGTCACCAGTCATGCTAAAGGTAGGGTTTTGACACCAACCTCACTTTAGTTATTCACCACTTGTCATGAGCGACCTCTTTCCCGAGGACGTAACAGTACCTAGATTTGTAGGAGTAAATATCACTTCGGCACCTCGAAATCAGGTTGCTGGCAAGTACTGCTGATACACAGACAGATGTTGACAAAAATTGGTATAGTTAGATACTGAGTAACTGTTTCAAAAGCCGACTTTTATGTTTCTTTCCAGGAGCTTGATTTCAAGGTGGCGACGGGACATTTCCAGCTTCAAATGCAGAATAACATACAGTAGTACCTAGCAGAGCTAATATAAAGCCATCCTTTTAACAAGCAGAGACGTATGTAGCTGTTCTAAATACTGTGTCCTCAGGTTGATATATTCAGGCTAACGGAGCATTCTTCTTCTAACCCTCTCTCGAATTGCTTCATTTGAAAGAGAGCGGTAAGAGTAGCGATTAATGATACGAAAGTATCCAATGAGAAAAATCACACGAGTCATTTTGCTTCCCGTACTCGGAATGCATCAAGTGAGGTTGACGGTAACATCACGGGGAATCTCTTTGTCTAACCGCTGTGGTGTTTTGCTACCGTGTTTGATCTATGTATCTTATACAGATTACGGCAATCAAGCTCATTATACCCCTTTGGCTAAGAGGAATAGCGGAATACAGGTACAATAACACCGGATGGAAAGGGTATGTATACATAAGTAAATTTCTTCTCCCTATTCAGAACTTGCTTTTATCAGTCGCTAAAAGTGATTATTCATGAGGTATTGAGGTTTGGCGATGTGAGAGAATTCCCCGACAACTCATAAATAACAAGCAATAAATAGATACAGCGCATAAGCGAACGTAAATAAACTTCGCATTCGTGATATAGCCAATAAATAGCAGTGAATAATGTGTATTTTATGTTTAACTAACTGAAAATTCAGCAGAATGGTGGTGTATGTGAGGTGCCTTGCAGAAGTATGGCTTTGGGAAAATTCTTGACGTTCTTCGGCTTAATAAATTAATTCTATATGTGAAGCCGCAAACAGTATGTCCTATTCGCTCACCGCTTTTCCGGTACCAAAGTGTAGTTTGGAGTCATTGTGACCGCCTACATAACTTGAACTCACAAATAGTACAATTTTGCTACAACCCTTCCCGACCTCGCTACATCATTGTAAGAGTGAGGTAAATGGTCAGCTAATTTATTTCATCCAAAAGAACCGACATAGAACCATCATTATATTTGATCTGTGAACCCCTGTCAGAAATACCCAAGCTTAAATCAATGGTTAGTGAATACTGATGTTCAAACTTTGAAAAGCTACCCAGCAGCAGACCGAAGTATAAACTTGGTGTTTTTGTTTTTACTTAGACAGTTGCAGCTTAATGCTAGGATTTCTCTTCCATACTTTAAGGAGGGTTAGGACATGTCAGTGCTTCCAATTAAATACATCACAAAGGACTTGACTAAGACTTAAATTTTGCATGAAGTGTTACAAATTGAATGTACCAACGGACGCCGCGGATATTTGGATTACTGTAGTGGATTCCTGATTTTTGCTGGATTACTCTGTTATACGTGATTTTTCTGCTTGAATTGTACACCAATATTTTCCGGGGTATTCTTCAAGCTGTGTACATTTAGTGGACGTTCTCTGGCTAATTTCGGAGTTCAAATTGTTTAGCCCAACTGCCAGCTGCATCCGCCAGTTTGGATTTGATGCACGTCTGGACACGTGCGTTGAATTGTGGCTATTATCGACAAACATAGTCGTGGAATCTAACCCACCTATCAAACTCAAACTGCGAGCAATCACACAAGGTTGGTTTTCGTTACATCAATATATTACCTTGGCGATTGAGTCTGAACCTCGACAAGCTTAGATCGCAATGGCTCCACTGAACTCGCGCCGTATTCAGCAAGCCAAGCTTAGTGTACATTCCACGCCACAAACAAAGAGAAAACAATGCGAGGCCCCAAAAGAAAAGCGAACCTGTTCCTCGGCTAAACCTATACTCATCGCAGTACTAAGTGAAAAGTTACTTTCTTTAGAATCATAATGATATGAGAAAAACGCTAGCACTCTTTGTACGCCTCAAATGTCACCTGATTATGCTTGCCTACCTCACTAACCTATCGGTGAAGGCTGCTCCTGTTCTAATGGGAAAAACAAGACAGTTAATTGCCTCTGTTGCCTCTGAAGTGCACGAACGGTTATGTAGAGCAAAACGTGTGACTGTTTTTAATGTTCCGAACAGGCTGAGTCTGGATAAAGTAAAACCAGCGATACTGAAAGCTTGTAACCTCTCTAACGTTGACTGCAAATGCAAACGTTTAAAAAAGAGGACACCGAAAGTTGTCCAATCATTTTGGAATTTTTGAGCGAGGAAGTTGCGCAGCGATTCCTCCATTGTGCACCCAATTTAACGGCATTTTGAGTAAACCAGATAGGACACCCCTATAAATGTCCGAACTTGGCACTGTGCCGCGAACACCGAAAAAGCTAGGTTCTTAGAGAAATCTCAGCCAAACGTCAAAAAGACGAGGGCATCCAAGGTGGAAACTAGTTGCATTGATTTAGGCATCGATAACCTAACAACGTTGTCAACTAGTTTCAAAGCCGTCTTTCTTTGCTCCACTGAAACACCCCCTAAACAAGGAACGGATAAATCAGGTTCCCCCATTCCTGAAACCACTTCCATTATATCGACTTTATCATGCACAAAAATTAAAGGAAAGTCTAAGTGCTTTGAACAGTGGAGTAATGACAACTCGTTGAATATATCACAACCTGGTCCATACCAGCAAGACTCGTGCAAGCATAGACAACCTGATGTAATTCATAGTCCACTGTCGCCCAAGGACGATTTCTCCAATCCAGGGACCTGTGTCTAGAAAAAACGTATGGATGCTAAATGGTCGGTGGCACCCAAAATTCCCTATCTATCAACCTCTTCCAACCACCAGGGAAAACAACCTTTCATGTTGAATAAGATCTCATAACAACTGTCCCTTGGCTACATTTAATTATCATCCTACACTCCACAACAATCCCTGGAATTGCACAGATAATGGAAGGACATCGACCAGTATGACTATGTTACCACTCGCTCTTTCCAATGTTCCTTTAACCTCTCAAGTGACTTCCTCCAGAAACCATTATTTAGCGACGACGGGAATAGACTCACACCCATTCCCATCTCAGACACATCCGGCGGAGGTCAACACCTTGATCCCACTCTTCGTCCAGTTTGTCCAAATGACAAAGTTAATCCATTGCCAAACTAACGGCAACCTAAGCATGATGCCTG